TAGGGGAAAAAAATAAATTAAAGGGACGAGAATAAGTGGGTCTTAAGTCGTTCTTTGAAAATGATGACAGAAGGTGACTCACGAATAAATAAAGGTAACAAGTTCCACAACTTGGGCCCAGCAACCATGAACGATCGCTCCCCACAAGACTTTAACCGAAAGGATGGACAATAAAGATTGGTTGAGTCAGTTGTTGACCGGAGGGAACGAGTGCAAGTTGCAGAACGAACCTTAATTAATTCGGAAATGTATTGTGGTGATAACTTGTGAATTGATTTGTAAACATATAAAAGTACTTTGAATTCAATACGCTGTTTCACTGGCAACCAATGAAGACGACGAAAAGTAGGGGTGATGTGATGGAATATAGGTGTCCCAGTGACAAGACGAGCAGCGATGTTCATCAATAGCTGCAGCTTTCTAATTGATGTTAATGGTATTCCGTAAAGGATGTCTCTTATACACATCTAGATGTGTATAAGAGACAGGTGCAGGAAACTCATTGGCATCCGTCGCTGCTGTCTCTTTTACACATCTAGATGTGTATAAGAGACAGTACCGGTACTATTACTTTTGTTGTTGCTATAGTTCAATACAATTTCTTTCTTACTTCTATCAGAGATGACGTTGCTCCTTTAAAGAAAAAAGCTGTGTTCGAACGGCATCTGAATGGTTCAAAGACACATGTAGAGAGGACAAAAGAAGAAGACGGATGGCTGAACGCCGATGGTACAAGTCAAAAGCCAAGGATTGTCTTGTACATTACAAGAATCAATGCTCTGAATACCACCATGTACTTGATAAGGCAAGAGCCGACTACATACAGACACAAGTAGATGGGTGCGGTAATAACTAAAACCAACTCTTCAAACACGCAAAGAAGCTTTTAGGGAAACGCCCCGAAGAAATACTTCTATCATTTGACAGCAACCTGCATTTAGCTACTGATTTTAACATGTTCTTTTGCCAAAAAGTCAAACTGCTTCATGACAAAATCAAGCAAATGCAAGCATCCATCAGTTTTGAAACGCAAACAAATCTCATCATTACACAACATGGTAATTATACTAAATTTGATTATTTTACCTTGGTAACTGACGACGATGTCCAAAAGCTCATCTATTTACTTATTCATACAACATGTGCCTGGGACCACTTTCCCTCGAAAATCCTGGTCTGCTTATCCAGCTTCACCCCTGTTGGTCTTGTAACTCCCACATTAAAGAAACCTACGTCTGATCCAAATCTCCTCTCCAGCTTTCGGCCAATTATTACCAATATACCTTTTATTTCTAACTTTATTGAGAATGCTGTTGTTTCAAGCTTAGTGCAACACTTATTCGACCCATTCCAGTCTGCGTATCGGAGATTGTACAGCAATGAAGCAGCAATATTGAAAGTTCATGACGATATTATGCATGCTTTAGACAATGGCCTGTGTGTCCTAGCAGTTTACCTAGATCTTTCAGCTGCTTTTGACATAATTGTCCATAGTATCCTCCTCTAGACTCAGGAATGGCTTAGCCTGGTTCCGATCATACCTTTCATCCAGACGACAATCTGTTCGCATTTCATCTCAAGTATCTAGCCCTCAATATCTTACCTGTGGAGTTCGTCAATGCTCGATCGTGGGGCCCATCCTTTTAATCAGTGGCGTAACAGGCGGAGGGCAGGGGCAGGGGGGTAGACAGCCCCCTCCCTCTCACTGACTGATTTTACCGGGTTGGGTAAGAAGAGGAAAGAGAGAGGGAGAGGGAGGGAAAGAGACAGAAGGGGGAAAAGGAAGGGAAAAAGTAAAGAAAAAGAGCAGAGAAAATAAAGACAAGAATAAAAAGGAAGATATATGATCATCAATGCTAAATCTATTTATTACCGAAATTAATAAAGAGAAACCTGTAGATTCAATAAATATTTCATTATTTTACATGCCAAGGTCTTTGCTAAGCCGGCAATTATGTCAGAACGAGCAGTAGGCCTACTATATAATACAATGCATTTATTAATTTACTGCATTATATTAATTTACTGCATTATACTGTTCTCCTCTATGATAATGACAATGTTGCTGTTGGTTCCCTTAAAAGCAGTATCCTTCTAATGACAACCTTTAGTCAATGTCTGCCAAATATCTGTGAAAAGACGGCTATTTGTACCAGTACCAGTATCACATACTTATTGTTTTATTACTCGATTGTTACTCGAAGTTGGAAGAAACTGACTTCCAACTGAGTAATAAGAAAATATATCAAATAGTTATTAGCCAATGAGAACACAGTGTTCATGTCTACTGAATCAGAAAAAAAAACTAAACAACACTCCCATATCGTCGCTGTTTTGTCAAAACCTTCTATATTTCCTTAATCCAAAAAGAAACATTTTCTTTCAGAGCTTTCATGACTTTTGTCAGAACTCTCTAAAATGTGCATTTTTAAAAAATATTGGCCTAATCTAACATAGCCGTGATTGAAGTCTGGGTCTGCTGTGTGTATATAGGCCTAACACGAGTAACGCCCATCATTGATAGTGACATTGATAATTATTATTCTTCGAGGCCTACTTACTTTTTATCTACTGGTTCTTTATGACTATTTTCTCTGGCAACAAATGGCATTTCGTAATCATCGTCTTCACTGTCAGAAGACTTATATGATGCTCTATTTGTCTGCCTTCTGAAAAGATTGTAAAGATATAAAGTAAATTTTAATCATTATTATTATATTGCGATAAGTTTAATTGTTCATTATCATTACTATAAATAATAGTATTATATTTGTCAATATTATTTACATTATCGTCACCTTCAGAATCATCAATATCTTCACCTTCATCATCATCATCAGTCATCATCACCACCATCATCATCATCATAATCATACAAGATAAAAGATAATTTTATTGTCCGAAAAACCAATCAGTCATCATCATCATCGTAATCCTGTTCTATTTTCAATTCCAGGAAGGAGAGTCAATATCATTTATAATGAGTTTATCTATCGTCAGACTAAGTTACACCATTCTTTATGCAAGATTTTTTTTTTCAAGTTTTCTGTGATTTTCTTCTGTGTCTCCGTCGAAAAGTTTTGTTTAATGTTAGTAATTTTAGTACTGTAAGTTTATCTTCTTTTTTATACTTTTATATGATCTTCTTTGTGACTGTTTGGTTCTTGTCTCGTTTAATATTTGATATTTGTTCAAACTTCATACATTTATATAACCATTTTATTATTCTATTCTGAAAAAGGTTGACTTTGATCACCGTTGAATCTGGGATGAAATAATAATGATAGTAATAAAATAACGTCAAATAATGAACATATGTTTGGTTATAAGTTGTATTTCGGTAGCTGATAGTATTTCCTATTCACAAATTAAATATTAATTGTGTGTCTTGTGGAACAAAGCTCTTTAAAAGCAACTTACCTTGGCAGTGTGCTCTGTCGGGGTGGAATCGGCGGCGGTATTTGAGGAGGCTTTTGATACTCACGATAAGTTACACACATAGAATTAAAGTCTTTTTCCGACAGCAGATCAATCATTAATCTTTCTTTTTGATTGTGGTGAGATCTAGGTTTATAGCCTGTTGGCATGTTTCGTTTTTTGACTCTGACAAGTTTATGTTCAGGAATAAAGAACCGGTGTGTTGTAGAATTTTTAATTTCGTCAAAAACGCTCACAAGAATGTTCATTTCGGTAAAAATAACTTCAAAAGTTAACGGAGCCTCTTCAAGCAATAGTTTATCGTCTTCATTATGCTTTCTTTGATATGGGTTTCCGTGAAGTCGCGCACTGATAGGTAGCTCTCTTGGTATAGAATCGAGGGTAAAACTCTCTTTATGGTAGTCTACCTCTTCAAAGCCACCCAGAGCATATGAAGGAATACGAACGAGTGTAGGAAGTTCCGGAATTGCAGATTCACGAGAACAAATAATTACTTCGCATTCCTGCTGTTCATAGGATATTACTTTCATCTCTTTAGCAGTTAGCACATCTCCGGCAAATATCGAGTCTATATGCGGGCTAGATACAATGTAATCTTCCATCACACGTACTTTCTTCGTGTAGTGTTCTTGCCATATCTCATCCGCAGTTTGAAATACGTTAGGTACCATCTACAAATGACGTCAACAAAAAATGTCAAAAGAATACTGTAATGTGTTATAGATGGAGGGAGAAAAAACATTATAATGAAAAACAAAAATATAATACGAAATAAAAAACTTTACAATAAAACAAAACAATAATCAAAAACCCAGAAATAATAAACTATTAAAACGCAATATGGAAACAATAATGCAGCCTTTGCAGTGTCTCTCCTTTCTGGAACACGTCCCCTATTAGTGGATAGTGTTTTAACTATGAAATGAAAGAATTCAAGTATCTTATAACGCTACACTGGGAACACCCCTAATAAGGGAACGCTTTTTTTTGGTCCCGATACTAAAAATGTGATATATAGCAGGCAAATGTAAACTCTGCATTACTCCACCAATAAGAATTTCTGCGTTTCGATTGAAAAAAACATTTTCTTACCTAATTTTTGATAAATATATTGGTGTTTTGATATTAAATTAGTGAACTTTTAAATAAATTGTAAGTACATTATAATCAACATTTATAATGTAGTATTTTTTATTTTTTTTAACTAAAAATTGTTTACATTAAATCATTATAATTTATGCTACTAGAATTTATATTAACAAATCATTGTTTGTCCATGGAGGAAGGAAAGCAGTATCATCAATTTAATCCACTCTGTCGTTACAATTTTTGTCTTTAGGTAATTGTATCTGAAGAGTGGCATATTGTGCCATGAAACTATTTATCAATAAAATGTCTAATCAAATTGTACATATTCAAACATTCTTCCTCCATGATATAGTGGAGCAATGGTAAATCAATATTTTCGGGGAGAGACCCAGTAGGTAATCTCCAAGATACAAGAAACTACAATCTAAAAACTACAAACTATAAACTAATAGCTAACAAGATAGATTTTTGAAAAAGCACTGTCATTTGTTGCGCGGATGTTAACTCTTATTTTCAAAGCAGTTGATAATACAGGTTCCTTAAAACGACCAAGGTAGGCTCAGGAATAGCTTTATCTCATTAAAAAAAATTATGTCAGTCGTTACCTTCAGCTAAAACATTCTTGAAAAGATAGTTAAAAAGTAAACGAAGCATGTAATGTGAACATGTTGATGCAACTAGACGAGGAGGGCGTGCACAAACCATTGTAGTATTATTTTGCGTCAGTAATTGATGAAATCATGGTGGGTTATTGCATAGAGAAGAAATGATGTTAGGCTCAAGACAGTTAATTACTAAGCATCAATTTCATGATCTGATGATTGTCCCAAATAAAATAGAAAAAAAACAATCACAACAATTTATAAACAATTCAGACCGGAACCGGAGATGCTGCACAAACTGAACTTGGATTAAACTTACCACAAATGTTCCGTTATATTTTTCTACTGGTATGGTAAAGCAATTCTTTTTACCCTTTACTACAGCTTTACGGGTACATTCAGTATGCTCTACAATAAGCAATTGCTTTAATTCTAGGCTACGAAAAATAGGACTAGATTTGATTCCAACATTGAAATCTACAACCTCCACGCAAAATGGAAAATTTGTCTCAATACGTATCATGTTCTGTATTTCGTCTGTATGAAATAAATGGTCAAGATCGAAGACTTGGTTTACTGTCACTTCAGTGTCAATTGAAATTTGAATGATCTTTGAAATATCAGTAGATGGCCTGCAATTTATCATATCAATCCTGGATAAAAGAATAGGGTGTTGAAAATCTGCTGGTAGCCCTGATATTTGGCAAACTCCAGTTTGTATTTCTTCTTCAGTTCTGGATTGAGTTACTAAAACTGGCATCAATTCTAGTAGCTCATGAAGAGAATAAGTCTTAGAGAATACAGATAGACCTACGTCAAAGCAACCTTGAATATCTGGTTTTAAAATCATGACTTTCGGTTTACCCTGTGCAAAATGAAATTTGCATATAAGGAGGCCTTTGTTGTTCCTTTCGCATAGCTCTATTCTCGTACCAATTGGTATTATGACATTCTGAACGGTAATTTCATGCCTTGGAAACACGATACAAGGAAGACCTTTGACAACATTTCCAATTTTTTTCTTTCCTTCAATACGAGTTAGTGGCTGAAACCGTCCTTCGAAATTTAATGGAAGTGTAAGTTCCTTTGATACACCAGAAACATCTGGGAATGTGGCGCTTACCAAGTGGTTGACCGACTCCAAGCGATAGATCTCTCCGGCTGAGATATTTTTGCATTCGTCAGTTCCATACCACCCTTCCTGAACCTCAACTACCAATGGAAATTTCGCCAAATGTGTAGCTACAAATTGTTTAAAACTTCTAGACGACACCTTGTAATTCATATTGACGGGTACGTATTACCGGTGTTAGTAAAGCAACTAAAATTCTCTGCATATACAACATGAGGCGTACAAAATCACTTCCTATCAGCATCATAAGAAATGTCATAGATCGATTGTATATGATGCAGCAATTAGTTTCGAATACAGTTTAGGCTAAGTGCACGTACTTCCGCGTTAGAAACGGTACTCGTTCAACCAATCTTTAATGAATTGAAATTAGAGCACACAGGGTTTCGATCCGTGGTTGAAAGTGGGTGGGAGGTGGGGACGAATTGCAAAATATGTGAGACTTGGGCCGACGGCCCAAGAGGCCCCCGGTTCGTTGCTGGAATAAGTGAAGAAATGGCTTCACAGGAGAATCGGACACCAGACGGACTAAAGAATACAATATAATCTGGGACACCCTGAAAAACTGTCTCTTATACACATCTAGATGTGTATAAGAGACAGACTCTATTCTGATTTGCTCATATCATTGGAATGCAAATGTCGTATCGCACCAATATACTGTAGTCGTGCCTATTAGATATTTGTCACTCATTCTGAATAGAGCTTAACAATTGTCTGTATGCTCATCAATGATCTAAGGAAACAGCTAGTCTAATTTTTGACGGGGATTATCCAAACTAGCCTAACAAATTTATTAATGATAACTAAAATAGACATTCCCAAGCAAAAATGCGATTGCCTGCCCTCAATCGTTGTACTTTCCTTCAAGAGAAAAGGTCGCTTGCGTGCTGCAGCATGTTTGTTTTGTTAAAGGGTCTACTATAACATTATTCATTCATTGTGTATTCTATAGCATTTACAGTAGAAAATGAATTATAGTCAGTAACTGTGTTGCAAAAATACCTAAAAAATCAAATAAATAAATTTAATACTACACTTGATTTTAGGTCTTTGCGTATTTCACATAAACCGTCTCGCATAGTGCGGGACGGTCCAGCATTTAGAAGTGATTTTTGATGAAACATGCATTTTGCAGAAACACATGCATGATCATAAATTTGTCACGCATTTAGATCAAGTCTATGCATGATAACGAATTATCACGAATTCAGTGGAAAATTATTTAAAATTAAAAGAAATTTGTCTTATTAACGATATAAAAATGGTCATGCAGTAACTTGAGTCATTAGAGAGCTTTCGTTATCTCACTCGAGAATAAATTCACCGACAAAATTTCTTTCTCTACCAAAACCCAGCCAACCACGCACTTAGAATCTATGAGGCGCGGGCTTGCGAGTTAATTGTTAATTGCCACAACTGTTGATTATTTGACTTAAAGGCGGGGTTTTACCCCACTGGGGTTCCGCCCTGGACTCCCCAGCGGGGGCCCTAGCGGCCCTCGGCCCCCAGTCAACTGGTGTAGTCACGCATTTCAAATCTCTCAGGTTGGTAACTATGATTTCATTTGCTAGGCCTACCATTATGTGTACGGCACATACCTTAAATTTTCCTTTATAGTTCTCTGTCGGAACGGTAAAATATCTTCCTTTTCCTTTTGTAAGTACTTTTTCGACTTCGTCAACTGCCTCAACTATCAGTAATTGGTCTGGCTGCAAGTCGCGTAGAATGGTGCTGATTCTTAATGCATCATCAAAATCTACTACTTCAACACATATCGGAAAGATTATTTCATGTTTTATTATATCCTGAATATTTCTAGTGGGATTAAAGTGATCATCCAATAAATTGATTTTTTTAACAGTTAATTCTGTTTCTGCGGGTATTCGAATAGTCACCGATGTGTCAACAACTGGTCGACAAATCCCCACGTCAACTTTCGAAAGAAACAATGGGTCGCTAAAGTTTTCTGGTAGGCCTGGTATTTTCTCGCTCTCATATCCGAGGGTTTTAGAGACGTAAAACGCCTTAACTGGCATTTTGTGTAGTAATTCTTTCAAAGTATACAACTTTTCAGCTTGTTCAAAATTGGCTTTAGTATCAATTCCAAGAAGATGGTTCGTCTTAGCCTTCTGTGGGGAACCATAGTGACACTTGCAAAGAAGATAAACGTTTTCCTGTGGTTTGAACTGAACTCTCTTAGTAAATTCCATTTCAGTTCCTTTTGGAATTGAAGTATCTTTAATTTTAATATCGTGTGTGGGATATGCAATGCAAGGTAGATCAGATGCTATTTCTTTCATTGTTTTAAATGATCTATTACCACCTTTCCTATCCGGTATTAATCGGAAGAAACCATTAAATTCCAAAGGAATAGTAATAAGTCCACGCTCACTAGATATACTGTATGCTTCCGAAAATGTAACGTTTACGAGGTGGTCGATTGATTCCAAACGATATTTTTCCCCCACTGAGAAATCCCTCGCTCCCCCCAGCACGCTTCCATAAATTCCCTCATCTATTTCAAAATGAAGGGGAAGTCTGTCAGCGTTTTCCTCAATGAACTGTTTGAAATCTATGCTTACAGAATGCTCAACTATGTTCGCAGTCATCCGGACAGTGGCTAAACGTCGTCGGTATATAAAAAATCGAGGACAAGGCAGTTAAAGGAACACATGATAGAAATGTCTTGTTTGGTACTGCTACAGAACGGCCATTATGCTACACGAGTAAACCAAAGTAACAGTTGAATGAAAATCTATACAACATATCTGCCTCCGTTGAAAGTCTAATATCAAAAGGAGCATATAGTTTGAGTACGGTACATAGCACAATGTAAATACACCACCGCAAATCTATTTCCGCCTTGATTGACCTATTCTCTGAGGCAAATTCTATAAAACATTATCCAGACGCCTGACTTCACTATAGAAGCTCAAAACTAGCAGAATTTTAATAATAGAAGACTCCATATATCATTATTCATGCAAATTACATGCGTTGAATTTTACACAGGTCTAATGATAATAATAGTAATAACTATAGCTAAATATTAATATTGATAACAAATAATACTTAATAGTGATAGTAATAGTGAACTTGTTCTTGAAGTTTTCATAACGAGTAAGTGATAAATAATATTCCATATTTTGTGTGTAGACCTAACTGTATAACAGCAACAAAAACAACAATAACAATATGATAAGGTAATAATAAAATATTCACAATGATGATGATGTTAATAATTATTGTATTCGTTAAACTAGTAGGCCTACTATATGGGTATCTTAATTTGATAAATGGGTATAATATAGCGTTTACACATTCATTGAATATTTCAAGTGGCTATATACAAACAGTTCATCGAAGTCAATTCGTCTAGACGGAGGGCTAAAATGAATCGGAAACAATGTCCTTATTAATGATTTAATCTTTTTTTTTTTTCCAAACGGATGAACTCTTGATTAAATTCTGTTCAAAATACAATCAAGCCGACAAGAACCCTAGCAGATTGTATAAGAAGTTTCATACTGTACGGTATGAGATAAAAATATCATCATAATCACCAACGTTGACAAGTATGAGTTATTTCCTTTATCTCCTCTTTGTTGCAAAGGCATTATCATAATAAACGGACGTAAAACAGATATCACCCAAAACTATGCGAAAGTTTCTGCACTTGGTCTCGACGTTAATACCTCTTGCCGAATAATGTTCATCGATGATATGCATTTTATCCAAATCCGTATGCCAATAACTACTGAGTTAAGACAATTATAACAGTAGACCTATAGTGCATCAGGCTGTATGCTTTTGAGAGATATTACCATATAATTGAAAGCGAAGGCTTATCAGTTAGGCCTATTATTACATCAAAATCCATGCAGTGATCAGTTGTGATTTTAATTCATAACAAACTATAGGTGGACTCTTACAAAAACGAAACTGTCTAATTACCCTGTCACAATTTTCGTTTTGTACTTTCTCTGTTGCATTAGCAGAATATGGAAATACACAGCATGTACATCCTATGTGCTCTAGTTCTTTTCAGGTGTGATTATTTTCTTTCATATTAAAAAAAATGTCATATTATTATTATTATTATTATTATTATTTATTATTATTTATTATTATTATTATTATTATTATTATTATTATTATTATTATTATTATTATTATCATCATCATCATTATTGTTGTTGTTGTTGATACTATATACACCACACGGCTCTTGCTCAGAGTATGACTTTTCCAATGACCTCCCAATCTTAAACCATACCACCTCCATGTTGCAACTTTTAATATAAATGTATATTATTATTATTATTATTAGCAGTGCCGCCGAGAGGCCGGGGTAACCGGGGGCCGGGCCCGACGGGGGCTCGGGATAAATTGGTAAAAAATAATAAAACAAATAAATAACAATTTTCAAACGATCATTCAAGTGTTTTTCGTTAATATACATTGTATACAATTTAGAAAATACGAATAGACCTGATAGAGATTGTCAAAATAAATACTGAATTAATATATTAAACCAGTGACGGATTTAAGGTCGAGGCCCGGCCCCACCCCCTATTTTGTTTTCAAAATTTAACCAAAATTGAGAAAAAAAGAAAATTCTATTCAAGTTTAAGTCTTAGAGTGCCATTTCGGCCGTACTGAGGTACCATAATCATAAATTTTCTTACCTCAGCCTCAACCAAGGTGGGGCTGAGGTAGGTTGACTGTCCATCTGTGAAAGTTATCTGGGCCCCTCTATTTCTAATTCCTGTATCCCCCACTGTAAACGTTGATACCTATGTTTTGAATCACGTTTGAATAAAAGGAAGGATAGATTTTGCTTTTCGTGTTTCTATACTTTTTTATGACCTGGTGAAATCAGGCACTCGATAATCGATTAAATTAGTATCCTCTAATCCGATGAAAGACCGTAGCTTCCGGGAGGAACCAGGGATCTGCCCCTCGATCCCACTGGGGCCCTAGGCGGCAACAAACAATAGGACAGGGCAGCGAAGATGCCCCGGAGGCCGCTCTCGGCGGCCCTGATTATTATACCGTAGAACACCTCTATTGAGGGGACATCCCTGTTAAGGGGACACTTTCCGTAAAACGAGGGGAAATATCTTTCACTTCGGCCAACCCCTATATTAAAGGGGACACCCCTATTAAGTGGACAGGGACAATGTCTGAGTGCGCCAGTCAATCGATATCGAACATTTAACCCATAGGCCAAGGGGACACTTGATTTCTTTCATTGCATCACAACAACTACAGTAGTCTCAAAATAAGAAAAATTCATTAACCTATACCTTTTGCAAGGGCTGATCCAGTGGGGGAACTTCCCCCCCCCCCCCCCCCTCCCCCACTTCCGTTTTGCCACTAAATTTTAAAATTACAAGGCATATATTGAAATTAGCACTCTCACTTATTTAGTCTAAATATGTTGTGCCCCCGTTTGAAAAATTCTGGAACCGCCCCTGGTTTGAGCAATAAACTTTACACCAAATTCAAACCCATTTCGTGAATATTCTGTTTAAAATTCTATTCATTTTGGTGTTTTTAGGACATGATTAGAGCTTATCATGTCTTCCTTTCTTTGTAAAAGGATGTGCGAAGTATCGTTTCCTGAATTGGGCTTTCTTACTCAAAAAATATGTTCTTCTGTGTATCATAATATTGACCTCTTGATTCGTATGTTGCTTCCTCATGGAGGACCTCCATGATTAGACATATTATGCCAAATATATTTACCTGCCGTGGCGTCCATTTTACAGTTTGGCGCAGACAATTGGGTGGACCAGGAACTAAAAAAATTCTCAGAACTGGGGGTTGAGACAAGAAACAATCTCATAATCGTCCTTTTCGAGTTTCTTTGAGAGACTCAAGAGTCATTTTATGGGAAATTTAACTCGGTCTAGTGTCATTGCCGTCGCGAATGCAAATACATGCACGGGTGTAATTGCTTCTCAGAGTGTGTTGGATGTTTTATGTAGGATTTTTGTGTTTCTGTTTGTAAAATGTTCTTATTGGCCTGTCTTTATTAATTTGTATATTCTAAATGTTCTTTGAAATTGTATTTTTGTGTTAGTCGGGGTTTTGGATGGGCACATCTTCCGATGACAGTTTTATACTTTTGCCCATCCTCGGTAGCCCCTAACAACTTAACCTCATTATTTGATTTTGTTAGCTGTCAGAAGATTTAAATTTAAAAAAAAATGAATAAAAACTATAACAACTCCCTGGTAGGACTAATCATGTAGAAGTATCCTCAGTCACACAAACTTTAATTGTTCACACAATTTGTTGAAGCCAATTTAGTTTGCAAAAGTAGCCTCGAAAAGAAGCCCAAATCCATGGGCTTATTTTCAAGATAGCATGGGCTTCTTTTCGAGATAGAGAGTACATACTCTACATGAATTTCAAGAAACAAAATTAATTAATAACACGATAGTGTATACAAGTTTAGGTGATTTAATGCCGATTAATACACTCAATGATACAGACTGATGTTACAGTTGCCTTATTTATTGTTTTATAGCCTAGTGTAAATTCTCAACATTTTGAAAAGAAGCCCCTCTTTACTTTGCAAATCTGGCCTCGAAAAGAAGCCCATCCAATTAAACATTTGGTCTCATATTACTGAATTTAAGGGAGCAAAATTGTAATTTTGTTTAAATAAAAATAGAACAAATGAATAAACAAAACATAGAAAGTATTAAAATAAATTAAAAACAATTTAAAAAAAAAAACCTACAGTATATCCTGGTATTACAGGATTGCCAAGTAGTCCTCGATTTTCCATGACTCTCCTTTTCCTCTCTCCAAGTTCCTCGAAACGCCGACGCTTTACCTTTGGCCTCATATTACTGAATTTAAGGGACCACTTAACATTATCCAAATTTAACAACATTTGGCTGTTGAATTTTTCTATTAAAGAGGTAACTTTTTTTTACACGATTATATCGGTAAAAATGAGGCTAAATTGTCATAGCAATAACAATACAATGCTACCAATTCAATAATAAAAAGATTTGGAACACACAATATAAAAGTAAACATTTCAATTACCGTACTCGCGCGAATAAGCGCCCGGGCGCTTAAAATAAAAATTTTTTTGCACTTTTTGGGGGGCGCTTATTCAAACGGGGCGCTTATTCGAACGGGGCGCTTATAAAAACAGAGTGAAAATTGAGGGGGCGCTTATGGAAATAGATGAAAATCGAGGGGTTCTTATGAGAACTTATTAAATCCAAGACGCACATTTTGAATGAAAAACGATTAAATAAGGACAATAGTCCCAGGATTGATTGGGTTATTGAGGGGGCGTTTATTCAAATTAGAAGGGGCGCTTATTCAAACGGGGCGCTTAAGGAAATTTTCTTGTTATGAGGGGCGCTTATTCAAACGGGGCGCTTATTCGCGCGAGTACGACGACAACAACAATAACATTAATAATAATAATAATAATAATAATAATAATAATAATAATAGGCCCTAATAATAATAATAATAATAATAATAAGTATCTTTTACACATCATGAAACAAACTTAACTATAAAATATACAACTAAACAAGAACTACTTACAAAAATAGAAACAACAATAACAACAACAACAATAATAATAATAACAATAATAGGCCCTAATAATAATAATAATAATAATAATAATAATAATAATAATAAAACATACAAATTCAATAATAAAAAGATTGGGGGAAACACAATATAAAAGCAATAAACATTTAAATGAATGAAACTCAAATACAAACAAAATCAGGCTAAACAAGTAAATAAATAAAAACCGCGATTTAACATTAAAAAATGGGAAAAGAGCCCAGGCAATATTCGATTTACCTGTCGGGATAATTTCAAAACGATTCAGATAAATGCGGCTAGACTTGACATTAATTTTGCTTCTTTGCCGTTTTGGCCTAGGGCCTATGCCTATTGCCGTTTTGTTACTTGTTATTGCCGTTTTGTTCTGTTGCCCTTTTGGTTCATTGCCGTTTGGTTATTGCCGTTTTGGTCAATGCCGTTTTGTATTGCCGTTTTGACTTAAATTTATTTATTGTGCTTTCCAATAATAAAAGATAACAAAAATTGGTAACGAAAAGCTAAACAAAAACATCAGGAAATTTAACAAAAAATAATAAATAATAGAATAAAACATCAAATAATACAAAATTCAAAACTCAATGAAGATAAATAAAAAGCAAATAAGGGAGTACAGTACAACCAAGTTTAAACATGGCCTACTGTATTGCAGAAAAAAACAAGTTAGAAATTAACTAAAAAATAAACCAGTGTTGCAGAATGGAAATAAAGTTAAATTCCTAACAATGAGAATACAGTACTAATATTATTGTAAGGCAACTATTAAGAATAGTGTGGGGAATAGGCCTTTTCACGAATCGGTAGACATCTTTAAATGATGACGAACATTGCGAATCAGCGGTGCGTAACCAACAGAAATAAGATAAGCTTTTGGGCTGATTTTCTAATATCATGTTTATTTTAAAAATCATAACTCCATAACGGGGCGTCGTATTAAAAAAAAAAAAAAAATTCTAGCAAAATGTTCTTAAAAGACTAATCTACAACACTATAGGATTGAAAAAAAAATTGAAAAATGTTTTTGATCTCTGAAATCAAGATGGAAAAAGAAAAACCTATCTAAATACAATATAGGCCTATGCATTACAGTGCAGTAGCATAGTACTTTCGTGTTGTTATCTGTTCCAAGTACCGATAATATACAGATTTCTCTTATTATAAAGTACAAGTTATGTTTTATAAAGAAGTATAATATAGTAAATCATGTTTTTAACACAGGAAACTCTCATATGGTAACTCAAACAATGCTAGTCCATTTTATTACTAGTAATACTAAAAAATCATATATTTCTAATCGACATCGACGATCCAAGCAAAAAGAGCCAAAGGGCAAAGGTTACCTTTTCATAAACACGAACAAACAAACATAAAATGCCTAGTTTTCCTAAAGGAGGGACTACTTTACAAGCTATTAAGCAAGTTATTCAGCACCTTTCAAGCACTAAACGATACGACAGATTGTTAAGGAATGTAAGTCTGTCTTACATCTGTGCTTAGGCCTATATAGTTATATAGAACACTTTAAATACTTGCCTAGGCTAGGCCTCTTAGGCCGACCCGCCCTAGCTAGCCTAGGGGCCTAAGATTAAACAAAAAAGTCTAGGCTAGGCCCTAGGTGGTAGCCTAGCTAGAGGCCCAGCTAAGCTAGTATTAATAGCGGCCTTACTTAGGGACAGTAGTATTTTGTTTAGACATTCCAACCCCCAAATGTTACAAAGGCAAAGTGGGACACAACTACTACTTAACTAGAGAAAGCATTAATCCTTTATCACGAATCGGTAGCTAGACATCTTGAACTTGAAGTGATGACAAACATTGCGAATCAGCCATAATGGCCAATAGCATTGAGACCATCCAGAAAAGAGCATGTCACATAATGTTAGGTGCTGCCTACATTACTTATGACAATGCCCTAGAGGTTACAGGTTTACCATCATTTGCGGCAAGGAGAGAAACCCTTGTTTTGTCTTTTGGCAGGGTTTTGCTCAAGTCTGACTGCTTTCGTGACATGTTGCTTCCTTGCCGCAAGCAGAAGAGAACCCTGAGGTCTAATACAACTAGTACTGTACTCTTGATATCCCCAGATGCAAAACTGAAAGATATAGAAGGTCTGCCATACCTACTATTGTTAATTTGATCAATGCAAATAATTAAGTTTAATTTTTTTGTTCAGCGGATGCTGTTTGGGTTGATTTTAATCCTGTATCATAATAATGTATTTTTGAATTAATTGATGTTTTTTTTTTTTAAATTTAATTATAATGATATGGTGTATAATATTTATATATATATTTTGTAATATGATATTAATTTTTTAACTTTTCTAATTTAATTATTTGAATGTTTTGATATTTCGATATGTATTTTTAATTTTGAATTAATTGATGTTTTTGGAATTTAATTATAATAATATGGTGTATATATTTATATATATATTTTGTAATATGAAATTAATTTTTAACTTTTCTAATGTAATTATTTGAATGTTTTGATATTTCTATAGGTATTTTTCCACCTGACCTGTTTTCCTATGTTTTTATTTGTTGATTGTAAACAAACGTTTTCAGTCTTTGGCTTTTGTTTTGTTTTGTGTTTTATATCTTAATAAATAAATATAAAAAACCAACAGAAATAAGATAAGCTTTTAATTTTGGGCTGATTTTCTGACATCATGTTATTTAAAAAAATCATAACTCTATAACGGGTTGTCATATCCAAACAATTTTTCCAGCAAAATGTTCTTAAAAGACTAGTCTACGCCACTATATGATTGAAAAAAAAAATTAAAAATGTTTTTGACCTCTGAAATCAAGATGGAAAAAGAAAAGCCTATCTAAGCAGTGTATTAAAATAGGCCTATGCATTACAGTGCAGTAGCATAGTTCTTCGTGTTGTTACTGTTCCAGGTACTGATATTACATACAGATTTCTTTTATTATAAAGTACAAGTTATGTTTTTTAAAGAAGTATAGTATAGTAAATCATGTTTTTAACACAGGAAACTCTCATATGGTAACTAAAACAATGCTAGTCCAGAGTATTAAACTGGGCAGGAAAGCAGGTTCACAGCGAGCGATTTTCGAATGATGTCATCAACGCTGGTTATTTTATTGGATAATGCAGTTTACCGTACCTTTAGCAGACCAAAGTTAAGATACGGTACCGTATCTCTAGCCACAGCGTTCCGTTTGCTAAAGGTAGGTAAATTGCATCATGCAATAAAATGCTGCCAACCGTTTTTACACAATCTACAACTCGGCAGGAAAGCATGTTTACATTGAGTGATTTTCGAACGATGTCGTCATGCTGGTGACGGCATTTTGTTGGATAATGCAATTTACCATACCTTTAGAAAACCAAAGTAAAGATACGGTACTGTATCTCTGGCCACTGTGTATTTTTTAAGGCATTCTCTAATTGGCTTTTCACTGTTAAGTGATTTGAATTTAAAAAAGATAGAAATTAAAAATAAATTATTGTACAGTTTGAAAGCAGTACATTGTAAAAACCTCAAATCACATCTGCAACCTTAATCTGTAGTCTGGTAACATCCATGGAGGACCAGGAGTTTTTCCTCTTTGTTTTTGGCAATTGTTAATTGTTCATTTGCTTCGCTATGCTTGGTGGGGTTGGGGGGGGGGTCAGTCCTTTCTTGTGATTGATGTTTTGAATTTTTACTTTCTTTTGTCTTTGCTGACCTGTTTGCTGTGCTTGGGGGGTTTTTGTTTTTTCTTTGTGATTTCGATGTTTTGAATTATGTACTTGTAATGTTGATGACTTTTTGTCAAAGCGCTATGTAAATAGCGCTAAATAAATGAAATTTAAAAAAAAATTGTTATATTAATGTTTAAAGAAACTTACTTTGTCATCATTAATTTTACTGTATTATATTTTTTTTTCTTCTTTTTTTTTTCATTTTTGAACATGCATACAGGCACCGTGAGCCGTGACCTCTTGATATGCCTTGTGTTATACATGGTCCCACATACAGGGTTGTAGTCTATAGAAAACTATGGGTGGTGAGGGAGGGTGGGTGCTTGGTGGGTGATAACATTGGTAAATTCTAAATACCTGTAATAAGAGTGAATTTTAAGAATGGGCCATGAAATTAGCATTATACAGGATGGAAAACTTAAGGCTGGGTGGCCCCTTTCACCATAACCACATCCCTGCACACAAAACTGTAGTCAGTGCATGTGAATTCTAGCTGCTATGTCACAAAATGTAGGAAGCCTGACATTTGCATGCAAAATATTTTTCCATTATGTTGGACATTCCACTGATTATGAATATCAATACATTTCTATAAAAAAGGTGAACCATATAGACCAGGGGCTGTGATTGGAGCGTCTAATTGTGAGCAGTGTCGTATCTAGAAGTCTTGAAATGGGGATGGGGGGCTCAATGATCAGTTGAGGGGTGCTAACTCGCAAAATATGGTGATTTTTAAATACAGTACTTGCAAGTAATTTTTTTTTTGGGGGGGGGCGACTGGGGCACGAGTAATTTTTGGAGGTGTGTGCGCCCCGTTCCCCCACACCCTAGGTATGCCACTGCTTTTGGGAGTATAGATAGAGATATATTGTGTCAGCCTCAGAAGTAAATATGAACTGTGTATTGCACTCAATATGCTTATTCAAACTCGCCATTCAAAACTTGTTCTCATTTTCTTTCCTGTAGGTTCAAGTGGTCTCTGCGGAACCAGGTCACTGTATATGTCAATTAAAGGTTGCAGAAGAACATTTAAATGGATATGGGACCCTACATGGTGGGTTTACATCAACATTGGTTGATTCCTTGACAACCTTTGCTGTCATGTCAACCGAAGCTGGAGTACCAGGTGTCTCAGTTTCACTTAATGTTAAGTGCGTACTAGTATTTTGTTGCTCTCACTGTACCGTATTTTAACCAGAACTTAACAATGACTAGCATGGTCTTTATTGTATTGTTTTGAGAAACAATTTCAAATTTTATGACATTTCATCATCATTATAACTATAAAAATTACCCTCCAAAATTTTTAGTGGGTCCTTCGGGTGTTGAATTTGGCAATCTTTACCAATAAATTTTATTGCCTCAAAGTGTAAACATTTTTTTTCCAGTTTCCTTAAAGCTGCAAAACCAGGTGAGGAAATACAGATAGATGCAAAGGTTGTGAAACATGGGAAAACACTGGCATTTACTGAAGCACAGTTGACCAATAGTGATGGTGCTACACTAGCAACAGGGCAGCATGTAAAATATATAGCATAATAAACAAATTTAAAAAAATAAAAATTATATTAAATTTAAGTCTTAAGCTGTGTTTATATTGGATTATTTTTTATCAAAACGAAGGGCAACTACCTTTGTCAAATCGTACCGTTGTTCACACAACTGATTTAAATATACAGTATGTTTTTATGAAATAAATTTGCGAATACATGGTCAGTATAATTGTAGATAAATTCTGTGAAAAGTACAGTGACAATGAAGTACAATGGTGATTTGATTTGGGTTAGATTACTGATCAGATAAATAAAATGCCGGGGTCCTAAGTTGGAAGAAGTTATTTCCGGGCGATCTGTTTAAACAAGCTTCTTAGCTAATTTTGTTTTTGCTACTTTTGATAATAATAATAATAATAGTGTAGTTTTATATAGCGCACAAATCCATCTAATGTAAGATGCTCAGGGCGCTTGAAATGTGGTGCTAATCGACACTGCTTGCCGTGAGGCAAATGATACGGGTTAATACTGTAGGAAAAACATGCAGATATAATGAATTTGTGAGAGATGGGTTATTCTGCGGAAGATTCGTGTACAGTTGGGGAGCGCCGCAGGCTGTTCTGATTTCCTGGATACTCCAGGGACTTGGGGAAGACTTGGGACCCTCTGAAAATATGTACAGTAGCACCTTCTTTTGATTAACAAAACTTATTGAGACATGAGTTCTAGCTCCATCATGCGAAACAATTATAACTCTCTTGATGCTTCGAGGCCACAATTTCATTTAGGTTTATAAGGAGATGAATTGGAATGGCTTCCTTAATTTGTGGTCTCGAAGCATTAAGAGTTATTATCTGATCTGTAAATCTAATTAATTGCCTCTTTAAAACTCATTACTGAAAATGAAGGAGTAACGTTCGTTTTTTACAGTTGTCTGTGGATCTGTTGGCTAATGTATAATGTTTTTATAATTTTTTATGGCCGGATTCCAAGGCTTGCAAGCATAGAAATTTATTTCCTTTTCCTCCTTCATTTTCCATGAATGACAAAAATAAAAGCTATATAAGTCAACAATCATTATTGGCTTTTCCAGAAACAGCAGAAAAACCATTGTTTTTGTTCTGTGGGTTATTTTCTTTCTTCTCGCCTATGTTTTTGCAATGTTTTTAGCAAAATTACTGTGAAATGCATCCGGCCCTTATTTATGCAAGTTAGATAGTGAGAAAATCCACTGGCGTTCACAGGTTCTATAGCGCAATGGTTAGAATTGTCTACTTCACACTCATAATTACCATTGTGGACCTAGTTTGAGTGAGAAAATCCACTGGCGTTCACAGGTTCTATAGCGCAATGGTTAGAATTGTCTACTTCACACTCATAATTACCATTGTGGACCTAGTTTGAGTCTCACCCCCCCCCCACCCCACCCCCCTAAATTTTTATTTTCTACAGTGAGGTGTCATAACATATATAAATTGTCTTAAGCCCTAGGTAGGTAGATATCACCTGGGTTGTTTACAAGTGCATTGATAGTCAAAGTTAAATACATGATTGAGATATTACAAACAATATCTACTATTTACAAAAAAATGAAAGAAAAAAAATTCACTGTGGGCAGGCTATGCTTTTATTACGCAGCATTAAAAGAGCTTTTGTAGTTTTTTTATGCTGTAATGTTACTGGTTAACCTGCTTGCCTTGGAAAAAATAGGAAATTGAGCAACTCTAGTTACATCCTGTTAAACAAGAAAAAAGTGCGGACTATACAAATAAGTACTGTAGCACAACCTATCCTTTATTTGCACGCCAAATAAATTTATTTGGGAGCTGAATAATACATTTCATCATTCTGATAGTCCATCAATTGCACTAAGCTAACACTTGAATGCTCAATGATATTCAGTGTCAATAGAAACTAATGTCAAACACCATTGTTTACACAAAGCACACTATAGCTAAATTGCAGTTAAAAAATTAACCCCTAACATACATGACAAATGTATTTCCCTATATAAAATAATATACATGTACTATATAAGTAATAACAGATTCGAGCAGTGTATATTATTTTTTATCTATTTGTAATGTGTTTAGGTGCTATGCAGCAAACATATTTGAATATGTATATAATTTTTTTAAATTAAAATATTATTCAATTTGACATAAAACTGACTCTACTTAAAACAACTCCAACAACTTGATATAAAAAGATGAAAGTACACTTATGACTAGCCTGTCAGGGGTGGGCATAAAAGTCAGTCGGAGGCCAAAGTGAATTTTTGATTCAACACCGAGGGGCACACCCAAACTTTATGTTTCCAGTGTGCTTTCAAAAACCTCCAAGCATTGCTTTTACAACACTTTATTCCCAGTTTTAGGTTACTTTTTACAGATGATCTGTGTTGGGCCATAAAAAAACAAGGTGTTTCCAAGCCTATGTTGCCCACGGGCCGCACTTTGCCAACCTGTGCAGTACAGTTTTAGTCCTACAGTACTGTTAATACAGTTAAACTGGCCTAAGTTGACTTGGAAAAAATTCTAAGTTGATCTTGCTTTACATGCCAAAGTTGTGTTTTCGATCTGCAAGTCAAATTTTACCTATTAAGGTGAACAATTTTTCAATGCTATTTTGAATTTGATTAAGGCAAGTTCTACAATACTTTAATTTATGTCCACACTATTAAATTATATTTGACAAATAAATGTGATATGGCCTCATCACATTAATTTTGATAGTGTGGAGAGCCATTTACAGGTGCTATATAAAAATCCCATACATTTTATTTATTCTTTCTTTATATACACTTTCAATACATAGTACTGGTTTCCAAAGTGGTTCAGTTCTTAACTACAAAATTTTAAAAGCAGATATATACACATTGTAATCAAAAAAGATTGATAACTTAACTACAAATTAAAATAGATTTAAAAGGAACATTGAAAGAAACTTAAGAAAAATTAAAAATTTAAATAATAAATATGGATATGCAAGATAAGAGAAATTTAATCAGGTTAAATTAAGATAGTATTATTGAGGATTTGAAATAGAATGCTTAAAACTTGAAAGTATCATAGATTTAAAGTTGGTTTTAGTATGATCCGGGAGTTTATTCCATAATTTAGTAGATCGGTATACAAAAGTTCTTTTACTTTGCATATTATTCCAGGTGCATTCAATTAGTGTATTTTTACTTTGACTGCTAGTACAATACGTATGCAAACCATAATTAAAAACATTTTTTTGATAAATATTATGGAGCATGACCATTTAAACATTTGAAATTGTTTGTCCCATTTATCACTGAGTTTGCTCCACCCTAATGAACTTAAAATATTTACAACTGGGGTTTTTATGTCTACAGGAAGTAAAATTTTTCCTAATCTGTTTAAAAGTATTTGAAGTGAATTTGAAAGTTTAATATTATAGTTGGACCATAATAAAATATTAACATATACATAATGATGAATGATAGTATGAAGAAACAACACTTAATTTAGTGATATGTGTGTTTTAGAAGCATAAGGCATTGTTTATCAGACGAGTATTGCCCGATGACTATCAGTACAATTCTTAAAGATTGTAGCTTGATTTGTTTGTTTATTTATTAATTTGGCATCATTAGAGTTCATGTACAACACACTGAAACTAATATATGAGGTCGGCTTCTGAGAACTCTCAGTCCTTTCTGGTAAATAGAACATGAAAAAAAAAACATATTGTAAGTATTGTTAAAATATCAGTAAATTTAACCTTTCTTTTTATCATTTCTCTGTGAATAAGGTCAATAACTTAGTACAGTGTACCTTTGAGGAAGTCTGTGAACAATAGGCCAGTCATATTTTAAAGGGCCAGTACCACAATGGGGTAGTCACAAATTAAATATATATATACTTTTCCTTCAACATGGTTAACAAAAATACAGCAATTGATAAAGTATTTACAAGTATTCTATTGTATTCACACATAATACTATTGTCACAATATAAAGCACACATTATGAACAGACCCAGCAACGTATGTAAAGTATTTTTAAAATATTGCAACATTATTTCAGAAATAATATACCGTAACCTATTAAAAATATACAGCAAGCATCTTATAAAAATAAAGCCATCTAAAGAATTTGCATATACACTTGATGGGTAGATAAATTTTAAATAATTTTTGATGGGTTTGAAAATATATACATTTTTTTAAATGTCATGACAATGGAAATATATTGCTGATCATAATATTTAGTAACATTAATAATTTAAATATTTACTACTGTACTACACTATGCAATATTATGGTAATAATAAAAAAAATAATGAACAATAAGTTTACATCAAATGAAACTGCATATGCATACACCCTCAGCCTGTCACTTGTGCTCTCATAATTTGTACATGTGGAAAATATAAATGTTATAATACCTCAAAAAGTGGGTACATAAGCCTAGGGTTCTTTAAGTTAAGCCTGTGCCTTATTGTAAGGGTAGACTGTGAGGGTAAACCAGACTAGGGTATAGTTTAAAGACTAGCGAGTAGTGTCGTCGTGAGGAGCGTGGACCCAAGCTGTGTCTTGTGGGCACATGCATTGTTGAATAAACCCCGATATCACCTTGAATTGGTGCTTGGTTTATAATTGTTGTATGAGTCGTGTCTCACTCATCAACATAGCAGTGTTACATTATCACACTAATTCTGTAGTTTTGAGCTCCCTATAAAAAACTATCTTAAGTGTACAAATTCAAGGTCTAGATACTAGCCAACCTAGGTTTATGGTATTCAAGTTGGCAAATATTCATTGTAATTAAAGCTCCCTTTTTCCCAATCAGCCCTCATTGGTGTGTGCATGTGTGTGTGTGTGCCATACCATAACAATCACCTCCGCCACTAACAATACCCATGAAGGGTGGAACAAAAACTTAGAGGCAGCAAAGAACCATACACATACAGTGAAGTACCCCATTACACATACAGTGAAGTACCCCATTACACATACAGTGAAGTACCCCATTACACATACAGTGAAGTACCCCATTACACATACAGTGAAGTACCCCATTACACATACAGTGAAGTACCCTATTACACATACAGTGAAGTACCCCATTACCAAAAAATTATGTAGAACATAGTAACAGTGACCATGGGTGACAAGAAGACATGGGATGTATGCAGGCACAAATCAATGTTACGTAAATTTATTAATTCATTGCCTGTTTTCGGTTAAACATGTATCTAGTTTTTTTATAATTTAATATGTATACATTGGTTTGCCCTGATGAAGCATAACTAATATTAATAATATAAATTAGTAAAATATTTTTAAAAACCATAAGCAAAAAACTCTTATATTTCATATTGTTTTTTTTTTTCCTATGAAAAAACAACAAAACTAGGCTCCAAGAATCTTCTTTACAAGATATCCTGGAGAAGCATATATAAACAAAACAATAAATGCAACAAGCAGTGCCAATAGAAACAGCTTTAGTAATAGCCACTTAAGTCGTTCAAAGAGAACGTAACGAAAAGACTTCCACGGATTCATGAACCACATGAATGATGTGTCCGGCCGTCTGAAATGAGAAAAAAACATAATGTCAAAAAAAGTTACATTGTATTAAAATAAAGTTCAAAAAAATTTCAGATTAAAAACATAATTTGTTATAGTTTAAATCGAAAGAAAATATATAAAATGTTATTTAAATTCAAGTATCTGTCATATAATACCGTAGTTATGTAAAGCAAACAAACTGTGTTGTAGTCCTCCACCTAATTTTATAAATATAAATAGTGGTGAAACTAGTTGTTAATTGCAACTATCTCGCATGGCTAGCAGAAGTTTTGTTTAATGAGGGAATAATGCGACCTGACTGAAGTTAATATAATTACTTAGAGCAGGGCCTGTGACTTAGAGGATGTGTGTTGTCATCTAGTATACATTTAAATTTCCTATTTATAATGTCAGAATAAATATTGTTCATTTCTGAAACATGCAAACTTATTACCTTACAAGTGAACTTGGTGATTTTACTATGTAGTTTACCTGAATTTATTGAAACTGTTTTTATTTAGGTCAATACACAGTACTGTATATGTATAAACCAATAACATTAGTTCAATAAAGTGAGTATTTCATTGCAACACACTATTTTCCACCACCATACACAAATTATGATTAGCACTGATCCATATTGTAGCCTGAGGCAGATCCAGGAGACAATGGCGGGGGGGGGGGACCTCTCTCACCCCCTTCCCCCAAAAAACGAGAAAATTAAGACATGGTACTCCAAAACAAGCTAATTTTTTATTTAAATTCCATGTACCAGTGTCTATATTCAAACGAAAATCTCTTCACATTTCACATATAGACCCTACCCAGATTTTTCTCTGGATCCGCCTCTGGTAAAATAGAGTGCAAACGTGTACATGGAACAATGTATTATTATTGTATATAAGTTGTGCTCATTTTGCACTCCAAAAATAAAAAAATATAAATATATAATATAAGGTAAGTAAATAGTTTAATGTTTGGTATATAATATACACATAGAGATAAATAATTACAACAGTGCTCAAATAGGAACATTATCACATCAAGTATATATGACAACTAAAAATAAACAATAAACAACTTCAGGGTAATATAAAATGAATTATTGTGAAAATTCCTTACCATGTATGACTAATTTGGGTTTAATATATTATTAAGATAAAAAAAAAAAAAAAAAAAAATCAATATTAATAATTTATTGTCCTTCCACCACAACAATTTCACAAATTAATAATAGTAATTGCTTGCGGTACACTACATAAATATTTTGTTTGAGATTCAAGAGTGTTTTGATGTTTCGATTGAGTTGCTTCAGTCCTCAAGATTATCAAGACACTTTGATTGAGTTGCTTCAGTCTTCATGACAACGACTGTAAAAACTAAATTGAAATGGCGAGACACTCACCAACAAAACAACCACAAGCATTTATTATTACTATTGTTACTTCATCTTGAAACCTTCAATCAATCAATTTCTGATTCAAACCAAAACCAAAAAAGAAAACACCAGATATATAAATTATATATATAGAATTGTAAACCTGCAGAGTAGTAACTGAAAGTGAACATAACATTGATAATTAATGACAACACCATGACTGAATACCACTTAATATGCGCCCTCCTGCATTCAAAATTCAGCACGCCCTATACACTCAAAAGTCTAAATCTAAACAAATACAACAAAATAAAGAGATTCAATTTTACTTTATTAACACAATTCTCTGTACAACTTCATACAACCATTATGAAAAATTTAGCTTCACAGTATATAAACTCATTTTAAAGATCAAATTTTACTTTTGGTAAATATAACTGGATGAAAACTTGAGTTTAGTTTTAAAAAGTCCAAATTTCCAAAGAATATCTTTAATGTACAGTGAAAAAAAATTGTGTTGATTATGGATTATGGTATTTATTTAAACAGGGTAATTTGATAGAAAACCATGCAAGTTAAGAGGCCCCCTATCGGGGTACTAACCATCTGTTGTAGGTACCAGCCCCCTGTCAGCAAAGATTTATCACTACCACTGCAACCCATATGATCACGATAGTTTTAAATCTCGAAAATTTGACAGGTAAGCAAGGGCCGCATACCTAAATTGTACTTTTGGCAGCCGCGATTTCATTTTTCCCGGACGACCTTGCTGGAAATTCCCCGACGGGGGTCCAAGCTCGGGTTCAGAGGTCCCCGACGGAGGTCCTTTGCCCCCCTGGATCCCCGACTAGTGCCGCTTCTGCCCACGGGGCTGTAGACACAAGAACCGAGATATACATAACAGTTAATACTATTGTTCAGTTAAATTTTGTCCATAGGCCTACTATCAAATATTATGTGACATCTACTTATCACTTGCCCATACATAAATAATAATATTTAACGGTAGGTGTGATAACACATAATCATACCAATATTTAGGCAGATTACTTGAATTGATTGGGAGAGAAGTATTTATTCTGGCAGAACATAATATTATGTTCTAATATGTCAACAGAAACTTAAGTACTCAAACTGGAAATAAGAAATATTTTAAAAATATTAATATCCTAATTTTCTCAGTAGGGCCTACAAAGATTTCTGGACCTATATTTTAGTTGGAATCCTTGGATGAACAGGGATTTAAAAAACGTAATACTATTTTTAAATGAATACTGATTTATCACGCATAAATTAAGTAGATTTTCTACTATATCAAAATATTTTGACAAAAATGTTTACACTTGATTGGGAATTTGGGATTTAATAAAGGTTTTTATTTTAGTTGAAATAATGAACAATATAAATAAAACATGTCAGAAAAATTTACTATTGTCTTAATGTTGAAACATTAACAGAAAGCAATTTAAATTTACAACCATTGTATCTATCTGTCTAATTTTAATTTTACCCATCTTCTCTCAGCTTCAATCATATTTTCAGCAACTTTTATGAATATCAATTCTTTTTTTAATCTTAATATAATAAATATACAGTGCACAAATTATAAACAGCCATTGGCAATGATTTAAGCACCCATTATCTTTTTCACTGTGTATCCTGGGGCACTGTACATAAATAATGCGAAAAAAGCCATAATTAATGTAAATATCAGGATTTTTATAAAGTATTTTAAAAAACGATAACAAATAATGTACTTGAGACTTGCTAGGGGGCCAAGCAACCAGCTACCAGTAAGATCAGGGCGGCTGAAGGAGGGAAAGAAAAAGAAAGAAACAAATGAAGCATTATTGACAGAATGATATGCTCACATATTATTATACAATACATGGAATGAATATAATGATACATAAAAACAAGTATTTGATAGAGAAGAGAAGGGAAGATGAAATTATTTAATGTAAAACACAAAAATGAAATGAAAAGAGTAAATTAAAAAAAACAAAGAATGATAATACTGTAATTTTGATTCTTAGAGTATAAAACTATTTTCATTTTAAAAGCCGGAGACCCACTACACCCGATGGTTGTCGACCAACGCGATTCTATGGAGGATGCAACAGCGACCGTGCAACGGACCATTTTCAATGACGATCAGTTCGGACTGTCAATGAATGTCAGCAGACAGCGTTGTGTCGTCTAGCCCTCACTGGGAACATGAGTTGTACGACTGCCATACAATGCAGTGAGTGACCAGCTTTTGATGCATACATAGTAGTAGATGATACAATTAGGGAGCTACTATACTGTAGGTAATAGTCAGGCATCATATATTAAGGCGATCAAATACCTAATAAAACCATACATAGGATGAATGTTTTTAAGTTTAAATATCAAATATTAATTTACGGTCGATAATTTCTATCAAATGAAGAAGGCACATGGCAAAAAAGAAAAGCAAACTTCCACCAAACAATTTTAGAGATTCAAACCAAAATCAACTAAAAAAAAAACATCACTATGGACAATTCAAACCTTGTAGCAATTAACTAAAATTGAATGTAACTTTGACAATAAACCACAACACCTGAAACTGAAAACCAAAATAAATATCCCCCTCCCCTCTTCAACCTCCTTCAACATAAATATGCCTCCCTACTAGAGTAGGCCCTTAACACTCAAAAGATGCCTAAATTTTCAGGACTATGAATAAATACAACTGTAATCAAACTACATAAAGAGATTCAATTATAATTTATTAACATAACTTTCTCATATAGCTTTATACAACCATTAGCTTCATGAAATAAAGTCATCTTATTAAAAAAAATTGTACTTTTAAGGTATAATATAATTTGATAAAAATAATCTTTCAAGTATATTAAAAAATAACAAAATCCCAATATCTATAATAACATAAAGTTTAAATTATTTATCTCACTATATAAACCAAAAAGAAATTAATACAAGCTTCCTTCTGAAAATTTGAATTCTTTGATTTCTAATTTCAACTTCATGAGCTTTCTTTAAATCATAGTGGATTTCCTAAACATAAATGCATTTCTCAAATTATAATTGTAGGAATTAATACTTCAAGTTCTTTGAAAAACCAGAATTATATTTAATACAGTTAAAATATAGTACTTTATTTGTTTAGAAAAATTCTGTCTACATAATGTTAAGTTTCAATTGCTGGTGAAAGATAACTGTAATCTGTCCATTATATAAAAATCCTTGTCGAGCCACACAAAAGGAAAAATTGGCTCTAAAAATATTAATAATCTGTAATTCTATCTCGAATGTTTTCATTTTTAAAAGAGCAACACAACAAATATCTGAACAAGAAATGTTGACTATATTATTAATAATATGAGGTTTGCCATCCCAAAACCACCATCAGTGATCAAAATATAAAAATTGACTTTCTAATATATTCGAAAGTCAATTTCCCTCAGTAGGGCCTATAAAGATTTCTGGATTTATATTTTAGTTTGAATCCTAGGATGAACAGATTCACTTGTGTTATTAAAAAAAAAAACAACATTTGTATAAATATTTTGAAAAGAATACCAACTTATCAAATTTAAATTAAGTAGTAGACTTCCTTCAAAACCAAACAAATTTTACAAAAATGTCTTTGAAAATTTAACACTTGATGTGGATGTTGGGAATTAGAATGATTTTCTTACAAAGCAAGAGGAATGCAGACAATTTAATTGAAGCTTACTGTTGGTTTGAAACATGAACTAAATTGTTGGATATTGCATCCATCAGGCTAATCTTGGCTTTAATTCTTAACCCCCATCCTCCCTCAGCTTCAGTCAGAGTTTGTAAGTTTTATCATTCCTTAACGTCCTAAATATACTTTGCACAATATATATTATTACTGTTATCATATAAAAATATCAAAGGAAACACAATTACTAACACTGCGGTTGGCAATGATTTAAGCGCCCATGATCTTTTTCACTGTATATCCTGGGGCACTGTAAATAAACAATGCGAAAATAGCCATAATTAATGTAAGAATTAGAAGTTTTATAAGGAAACTTAAAAAACGATTGCAAATGAGGTACTTGAGACTTGCTAGGGGGCCAAGCAACCAGTTACCGGTAAGATCAGGGCGGCTGATGGAGGGAAAGGAAAAGAAAAAACAAATAAAGTATTAGTTGACAGAATTATTTGTTTACATTATAATTAAATCATATATACTAAATGTATGATAATAAATAAAAACAAGTGATGAATGTAGAGGAGAACAGAAGACAAATTCATCATATAATGTAAAACATATAAAAATGAAATGAAAAGAATAAATTACTAAAACCAGTATTAGTAATTGCAATCATAATAATGATTATTGAAATATCATATTGCACCTTTATTATTTTTTTTATATTATATTATGGTATGTTACTACTGTTTTTACTGTTTTATGGTATGTTTTTACTGTTACCTTTGTTATTACTATTATTTTTATTCAAATCACTATTAATATCAGTATTATTACCATTTTTATTATTATATTTTATCTCTAATGTTACAATTTAACTTCTTATATGTATGATTAATAATGTTTTAGTTTAAACATCAAATCAATGTATGGTTAATGATTTCCATCAAACAAAGTATGGTAAACTTATATTATGATTTATACTCTAAATTATATGTCAGATAATTATCATACAGTATTCTATATAACTACATTGTACAAAAATGAAAGTACAGTAGGTAAATGTTATCCAAACAGAAAAATATTAATCTGATCGCTGTCATATACTACAACATATTATAAACATTATTTGATTAATGGTAATAAAACTCATGCATACAAACTGCTTCAATACACCTTACTAAACAGAAGAAATAAACATTAAATTGGAAGGGAAGGCATTAGAGGAAGGGATCAGGGCAAGAAAAGGTGTCAGTTATATATCAGTTGGCAGTACTACAAACCTATTGATAATCAAATAACTAGGGGAATCCCCTTAACAGTCCCAATCATAAAATTTAAAATTTTCTCTTATCATAGAATTTGTAAGTTGTCCATTGAGTATTTTACAGCAGTTGATACATTATGTATGAAAATTGCTGCTCATTTTCAGTGGGTTTATATTTACTATTTAGAGAATATAGATTGCGTATGCTTTATTCATACCTACATTCCAGATATGATGCAACCTTCGTACAACATGCCTGCATTTTTTTTCTTATTCATGAGCCCAGCTGTAATGCAGCGTACTATAAATGGCGTGGGGTAAGGGTAATCCCCACTGTAGTATAATACACTGTCATCAATATTTGAATATAACAACTAATAGAATATGCCTACAACAATTGGCTAATTTCTCCAATTGCCTCTTACCACATGAATGTTCTAAAACAAAAATGTTGAGAAAACAAAACAAATTTTTATACTTGTTCATTTATTTTCATTAAAAATGAGAAACATTTGCTCCACTTGGGGTTATCAACATTATATACATGTTTTTATTATACACCTACGAAATCTAGACTGCAGTCTAAGCAGCAATACATACAAAGGGCAGGCTTGTGGGATAGGATTTTGGATGGAGTTTCAGGAGGTTTGGTAAATAAGATCTTAGGAAAAGAAACAACTGCACAAAAAAACATTCAGGAGGAAGGGTGGTATATTTTGTGTGTATACAAAATAATAAGATAAAAGTACCAATGGGCTAACATATGGTGAAAACTAGAATATATGAAAGGGAACAAGTTTCAAAAGAGATTTCAAAGACAAGACAAAAACCAGGAATTACAAACATACCTGTATGTCAGGTATAAGAGGGGGTGTAGAGATAAAATATTATTGATGCATTCATTTCTGTAATCGATAGCACGTAGCACTATTCATATACTAGAGATACTCAAAAGCCACAGAAGTAAAATTCAAATACATGTAGTCTTTTGACAAGATGGAGTGACAGCAATTCCTGAATATATTTATTGCAAAATGTCCAATTTGTTTTGATGTGTTTAAACACCCATGATCTTTTGAACTGTAAGTCCAGGAACACTGTACAGGAACAATCCAAGCATCAGCAAAATGAGGGCAAGTATCAAAGCCTTGATGAGAATCCACTTAAACTGGTTACAGATCATGTACTTAAGCGCCTTCAACGGGCTACAGAAGAACATCATGCTGATGTCCGGCCGACTAATATTAGGGGAGGGGATAGAGGTGAATAAAAGAAAAAACACAAAAGATGAAATGTTAATATAGTAAAATATGTCCATAACACGTGTATATGTATAATAGCCACTGCAAATATACCTACATATCTCACTTGCATATTATTACTTTTCTGACACTTAGGGAAGAAAAGAATTGAATCACAATGAGGAAATGTACTGAAAATGTATCGAATTTCAGGATCTTTAAACATAGAGCATATAATAAATGCTTTCTATTTTATCCAATCTACCTTTACATTTGCATTTGCATAAGTCAAACAACTGATTGAACATGACATTAAAACAAGGAAAACCTATTTAAGTATGATGCCTTTTTATAATGACAATAATCATAAAAATGAAAACAAGGATACTCTTCAGGATGAGAATAATCTGTATGTTTACAACTTGCCCATATAAGGCAAAACCAATACTGTTGTGTTTCCCAAAATTGTATATGTCAAACAACTGATTGAACACAACATTAAAACAAGGAAAACCTAAAAATATGATGCCTTTTTAGAACAACAATAATCATAAAAATAAAAACAAGCATACTCTTCAGGATGAGAGTAATCTATATGTTTACAACTTGCCCATATAAGGCAAAACCAATACTGTTGTGTTTCCCAAAATTGTATATGTCAAACAACTGATTGAACACAACATTAAAACAAGGAAAACCTAAAAGTATGATGCCTTTTTAGAACAACAATAATCATAAAAATAAAAACAAGGATACTCTTCAGGATGAGAATAATCTGTATGTTTACAACTTGCCCATATAAGGCAAAACAAATACTTTCGTGTTTCCCAAAATTGGGGGGGGGGGGGGTTAGTCAGGTCTTTTTAAAAATCATGATATCAGATATTTCAACCTCTAGCAGCAGGCTGGCCTATTTAGATATTTTGTTCTCAATAGCACACATACTGTAGATGTTTCTACATCATTTAACATAAATGGTCAGAAGCATACTATAAACCTACAGTAGTATACTTGGAAATATTATTGAGGTAAAATTTAACAAAACTATCGATAAAAAGCAGGCATCTGATTTAAACACTAAATATTTACTTTAAAATCTTCAATCGGAATGGAAATCACAGTAGTAGGACTTCCTGGTGGGGGCCCAGACAGTGAAGCCCCTGGCATCAGCAGAGCCATTTTAGGATTTCATAAAAATTAATAATTTCAGAGATAACAAATGTAATGATAGTAAAATAGTCTTTTTATGAAAAAAAAACAATTAAAGATGTATTGTCCTCTGAAAATTTACTAAAAAAACATAACAAATGAAATTATCCCTCTTATTACTCTTATAAGTATTACTAAACATAAAGGTTGTCAAATGGAGCAAACTAATAAATCAATTAAAACATGTGATACAACAGTAGGCATAATTATATCAAAACTTCCTCCTTCCAATTGTCAACATGCAAAGCATGTTTAAAAAATCGTAAAGGAGGAAAAACATCAATATTTGATACAAATTACGAGGAAGTTAAAGTAACTATAACTATAATATTCAATTTATGAAATCAATCAACAATCAATCAGAAAACTAATTAAACATATTGATTAGTCACCTCTAAATATGTCAGATATATTTGAAGAAAAAAAGTATTAATTTTCAAAACAGCATTAATGTTTCTATTTTCAAGCTACTTGTAAAAGTATAATCTGTCTAATAATAATATCTGGAACATTTCTTTAACAATGATAGCAGTGGCGGATCATAAAATGAAATAATTGGGGGTGGGGGAAGGTAAGAGACTGACTTTTGCAGATGAAGGGTAAAGCCTCAGCCCCACATCATTGGGCAGATGTCTGAAATTTGATATGAACCATAACCAACCAATGTATTTGAATAAATCTGTTAGTGTCAAAGTAGTGAAGAAATTCATTTGATAATATAGATGGTCTTTTCTATGATCCAAGGTATTCATGTATATTTCTAGTTACATTAACCCTGTTCTTGAAAAAGTTGGATCATATTTTAGAACCATACAGAGCTAATTGCATTTCAGTATAGTAATTTAAGTACATTACATTAGTTTCATTGTCGGTCTAACTGTGTACATTTATGTAGCCTTTTTGCTTGGAGTTCCCGTTTTATTGCATTATTTAAGTTCGCACACTTTGTTGGGGTTTAGTTTGTATGCAAGCAAGCTCTGCTTCAAGGGACTTTCTTACTTATTGTTGAGAGTGGTTAACAGTGCATCATAACCACAAGGAAAAGCTCTATACAAGTAACAAGTATAACATTTCTTCCATTTTTTATCAATACCTAGAAAACAATATACTGAACAGGGTTCCTTCATAAAAAACAAAAGAAATTGTTAATCATGCACACATGTAAATGTAAGCATATTGGCATTGACATTAGTGATAGTACTCACTTTGGTTTTTCCATGGGGTCAGGCTCATCACGTCCATAGCCTGCCGGGCTCTTCTCTGCTTCTTCAACAGACATTAAAATCAACTCCGCTTCTACTTTGCCCTAGAGAGAATTAAAAAAAAAATATTATAACACAATTTAAAGAATAAATGCACATATCCACAGTGAAAGCCTACAACAATTCTCCTTCTGCAAACAAATTACTAAAATGTGTGGCTCCTCCTAATCTTCATCTTTATATACATCTCATTATTTACCATAAGTTCCTCCTCTCCTTCTTCATTTGGTGCCACGAATGGCCAGAAGCCCTTGTGTTTCTTCACCTTAAACAGGTTCATCTGAGGCACTTTTGGATCTGTCATCATCTCGGGTTTGCAGCTTTTTGCAGTCTTCGCACCTCGCGGAAACTTGGTCAGGTCAAGAACACACGCACCTAATAAAATACAAAATGAAAACAACATTTAGCTAAAACAGAATATTGGAAACTTCATCTATAAAAAGTGAATGATATGCTGAACACAAATGGAAGCACGCTGCAGATAAGAAACACAAATAAAAAATACTTACACAACCATAAATTATTTATAATTCATTCACTCAACTTATATTTTAAGTTTAAACAGTTTTTTTTCTATATAAATGAATCAAACTAAAAAAAAAACAAAAAAAAAACTACAGTATACCTATGTCATTATTATGTATAATACAATAAAAAAAAGTAATATGATATATGTTTAATATTAAATATAATATATTGTACCTATGTTCTTTATTTCAATCTTTCTGTCAATTAATCATAAGTTTGCTGATTTAACCATTCTACAGTAAAAGTTTCTACTCTATTTTAAAGATAGGTTCTACATTAAAGGCTTTTACGAATGAATTTCTTGTTGTATTATAAAGCAAGAAATCATATCATTGAAATCCAGTACTGTTTGTTTGAAACTCCCGGAAATAAAATAATGAGAACAGTTTACAATTTATTGGTGTTAACTGCTGCATTGTGCACTATAGAAATCATGGTAAAAATTGGATTAATAGAATAAGGAAAAAAGTGAGCCAAATGTTTACACATGCTGGCTGATTTAACATTCCACATTTGTTATATCTACTGAACCATGGTTGAATAATTATTTTTTGCACTCAGCAGGACAAAGCTGTTTTTTTAATGTGAGTCAGTGAAAGAGTGGCTTAAAAAAATCTCTCATGCATGCACTCAATGAAAATGAGATTTTTTTAAAAGTTAAGAGCTTGTACTGAAACAAGGATTTTTACCTAAAAAGTCATCGGCAGAAAAGGCATCTGCATCCCAGACTTGCAGTGTCAACCTTGGTGGCAACTTGTACTCTGTTTCATCAATAGACAACATTGACTCCTTCTTCTTCACTACAATCTTCTGTTCCGCTTCCAAGTACTCAAAGGGGAAGATGAAGCGCCAGTTGAAATTTCCTTCCCCAGTTAGAGATCGATAATGAACATCTGTGGCTTGTAGATCATCATTTGGGTCAGTGTAAAAGCTGGTGGAATTAGCAAAAAAAAAAAACAACATATTTTGTCTCTTACAAGTACTGTAATTACATAAAATTGCCAAATTTCAATTACATTCAAACGCATGATAAAAACAACATAAAGATATATATATTTTTTAAAGGGAAGTAAAAAAGGTAAGCATATTCCATAGTAAATCTATAAAAATTTAAATGAGACTTACCCCTTCACAAATATGTCACTCATCTTTTCACCAGTCAGCACAGACGCATCTTCAAGCACAACATCCTCAGTGTTCCAGATGATGACACGCAGTTCAAACTTCTTTGGCTTTCTTGGTGTGATGTCTACTGGAGCACCAGGCAACGGGCTGTCCATTGGGAATAGATCCACCCACATCTCTAAACGTCCCTATAAACACAAAGAAAATCAAAATCATTATAACATGATGCTAACCAAAAAAAAAAAAAAAAAAAAAAAAAAAAACAGTGTTTCCAGCTCTGTCCAAACTATCAAAATTTATAATATAATATTTTAAAATTTTAAACTTGGAACACTGGATATAATTTAACGCTTTCAACCACGTTAACGTCATCTGATCTTGTTATGACGTCAGAGCGGTTCCTGTCAGTGGGCTTCGTTAGGACCCAGTGCCTCCTCCTGCTCTTTGATGATGTTATTCCCATACAGCGGGTAGATTAAATCTACCTGCATCTGTGTTCAGCGTCTGGTTTGTTAATTTTATGAAGATTGCTTCTTTAACGCCGCCCATCCACATTCAAACCATCTTGGTTCTACAGTTAAGATCTTCGTCTTATCAAGGATAATGCTATGGTCCTAATGAAGCCTACTGACCAGAACCGCTCGTCAGCGTGAACAAGACCACAGCAGTGGTTGAAAGCTTGCAAGGTAAGCTCGTTAAATTATATCCAGTGTTTCGAAGTTTAAAATACTATATTACATAGCCTATGTAAATACGAGTATGTGATTGGTCAAAATGGCATCACGTGACTAACGCTACGAGGATCGGAAACGTTATATTTCCCCATAGGGAAATATAACTTTGAAAAGTGACCGGTCTCTGACGTCACATGATTACACCAGCATTGCGCCCGTACTAGTCGAGCGCACGATCGATCGCTCACGAATTGTGAATGTGGAAAGCCTAGCGCTTCGAAAATGGCGACTTCAAATAAGTTTAAATCTCTCGACGAAGAGGAATTGGATAGAATTAATTATTGACGAAAAGGATTCTCGGTGTACAAAATTTGTTGTGAATTCATCCATTAATGTAGGCCCACTCAGTGAATATTGTAAGGCCAAGAAATCATCAAATTAGGCCTAGGCCTACTTGCATTGAAAAAATTTCACGGCAACGGAGCTCAACGTGTTACGTTTCTCCGGTCATTCTGGCTGAGGTAGGAGAGCAAACGGTGAATTGTAGGCTAAACGATCAATGATAACGCTACGAACAACAGAAACATTTTTAAAAAGCGACGGTAATATAAAGTATTTTGGCTATGTAATATAACATATATTATGTAAAAGTTAAATAAAAGTTTTTGATATTTAAATTAATGTGTTCAGTTCATTATTTGCATCTGTTTTTGGCTATGTAATATAACAGATATTGCCTTTTCTATCGGTGTAATAATAACATTTGATATCCCCTTGGGAATTATATTATTTTCTCAGGACTATATTTTTCCTCAGCGCTACGCGCTTCGGAAAAATATAATCCTTCGAAAAAAATATAATTCCCTCTGGGATATCAAATGTTATATTACACCTCTAAGCAGGCAATATCTGTATAATATTATTTTTACATCCTGGATAGATGAATCTTCATCAAACTATCAAAATTTACATTGACAAATTTGTGTAATGTGCCAATATATGGGCATTTTAATGTCATATTTCACCCAAGTAAGGGCACATCAGTTGGTCACATAAAATTCTACAGTTTTGATAAATAAATCTTTACCTGCTCTACTCCTGGTTTGTCAGGGTGGTAGAGTGGTCTAGTCTCAATGTGCTCTGGAACTAGCTTACAATTAGGCATCACTGTGTCCCAGTGTTTCAGCATCTCAAGGGCTGCATGTTCATCTGTTGGCTTCTGGGTTCCTGGAGTACAAACATTATTGGCTCAAATAAATACTGCACATGAACGTAGGAGAAGACTTAAAAATTGTATAAAAAATATTATACAGCAAAGCTCCTCTTTCAGACACCCTTATTAAGGGAACATGTTTTTGTTCATGAAATAAGGGGAAAAAAAACATCTTTTAACATTATCTGCCAAAAATTCCATGGAGGTCATTCAACTTCAAATTTATTATTTTATCTGATTTTCAACTGTCATTCTTGAATGAAAAATATCATATATGGCCTTTTTGTCATTTTTTGGGATAGAAATATAGCGAGTCTTTGACCTTTAGGAATACACTTTATTACTTTTTAAATTTAACCAAGTTGCTATTCAAGAGGAAAACAACATGTATTTGCTCATGTTTAATAGGAAGAGTAAAATTAATATCACTATTTCACAGGTATGAAACTTGCTAGGCAATTTAAGACCTGTGAATATGTTTTGTGTGTTCTAAGTCACTGTGTAATTGTCCTTTATGGAGCAGTTTTTAAAGACAGTTATTTAGTTGCTTTTAAAGCAATCCTCATGCCCTGTTTTATGTTACCATATTGTACATTTCATGTCAAACCTTGATGAAGGCAACTATATGTTATTTTTGTTTGTGCCTGGAAATAAATAAAATAAATTTTTAAAAAAGTAAATAAAATAAATAAAATTAATAAAATAAATAAATTAAATAAAATAAATAAAATACGTAAATAAAGTATGTCATTTTTTATTTATAAGCAAATTTAGATGTACTAGTGGAAAGGAAGTTAAATGCTTGATTTTTCAGGGTTCCAGTCCACCAGAATCTCTTCTCACAAACCACCACTAGCTCATTATAAGCATCATAGAAACTCAGTTAATAGACTATCTTTCCACAAAGTAATTGGCAAGTGTACTTAATATTGGATGTGAAAGACAAATATGCATAATTAATGTAAACATGAAAATATAATGAAATGCTAGACTAATTACCACTTTCATCTGAAACAAACTGCTCGCCGGAGTACTCAATTTGATTGACGCGGCACGTCCCATTTGAAAAATGAGGTCCATCAAACTTGTATTCTTTGCATAAATTCTTCAAGATTTGAGCTGGTTTTTGTGGGTCACGCCAGTTGTTGTAGCCAAAGCTGAAGGAATAAAATAAAGTGTATGACTATTTAATGATATTTTATGACTAGGCTGACCAATTTACCTTGAAGGATCTATCATTATTTGCTCTTACATAAAACACAAAATAGACACCAGGGCAGGAATTAATGCATCCCATGTAATACCCATTAGAAACATTCTTGAGATATTAAACATGAATTTGTGTGCATGACACAGGCAGCTTGAATTTTGACTGCCTGCATTAAAATTGTACCAAATTTAAGCAAGGTCTGCATTCACTTGTGTGAATATAACGTTATCTTGGTAGGAGCATCCCGGGAAATTCTTGTAACATTTAGCACACATCGCATGTAATATTTTACATTTTTTTACATCCTGTGTAATATAGTTTTTTATATTATTATTTTTTATTATATTTTACTATTACATAGAGAGCAGCACAGTTCAGTCAGCTAACCTGGTGGTAGCCACTGTGTGCATGCTGAACCACAGAGATCTATTGGTTCCTGAGTTCAATTCCCTTCACTGTTCTCTTTGTATTTTAAATGAAAGTTACAATACTGTCTTTCGGATAAGACGTTAACTAACCTATTGGTCCTGTGTGCATTAGGCCTATGTACATGTTAAAGAACACTTCAGTACACTCTTTGGAAAAGAGTAGGGGATTGTCTCCCGGTGTCATGCCCAATCACCACCAGAAGGACCACCTGGTGGGACCCCACTTTTGTTGGTTATCCTTGGTGTTTACACCAAATAAATCCACCCACCCATACTTGTTAATTGTCTTTATACATAGGAATTTACAGTATGTGGAAACAACATATTATGTTTATGCATATCAATGAATATTGCTCAGAGAGCAGACAAGGGTTGCCAATTGTGCATGTTTCAAAACTTTTAAGCTTCAGTACTGTAATTTTTATTTTGAAACAAACTTAAAATAACACAATAATAAAAGGAAGTATGAAAGAAAATTAAAACCAAGTATAAAATAAATAAAAAAATTAATAAGAATTTCTAAACTGACACAAATTATTAATATAATATTAATGTTCATGGAATAAACCTGTAATTCATATAATTTAAACTATGTTTAAAAAAAAAAATCTTCTTACATTGCATAATCTTTGCATATTCCGCAAACAGCACGATGTTTACTATAATATCGATTCTCAAGATCAATTTCTGTTTGACCTATGATGTCATCTGACCCTACCATATCCCAGTCATACACTTGCACTGTCAGTTTTGATTCCATGGGAAATGTTGTTTCAAACTCAAAACACCTGAGAAAATAATTAGTGGCCAATTAGAAGAAAAAAATATAATGCATTATGGTCTAGTATATAGCACCTTGCATTCTGCTATATTCAAATTAAAAATACATCAATTCCTATAAAATTACATATAAAAAAGACAAAAGAAAAAGAAACGATAGAATAAAGAAAAGATAAGTATTCAAATAGTTTCATCTGGTTTGCTTATTTTTGTTGTAGGACTGTTTAATTGTTAGGCTACGTTCAGTCTTGGAGATAAGCCAGACTTATGTTAAGCCCGGCTTAAGGTTAAGTCTGGCTTCACTTTGCTGGACGTTCAGACTAGCTGGATTAGCCAGGCGCGAGCATTTGCATATTTATGAACCATAAATAGTGACCATAACCAGTAAACGAGTTTCAAAACATTGCGCTCGAAACGTACGCTCACTCACAGAACACGTAATTGAATTCTGATTGGTCATTCTTTTACACAAAGTCAATCGAAGACCCTCTGCAGCGATTAAAGCCCGGCTTAGAAAAGTTAAACACGGTGCCACACTAGGCCTAGTTACTATAGGAACACAGCCCGGCTTGAGATAAGCCACCTAGTTCAGAATGGCACGTGGATAATCCCGGTGAGTTTAGCCGGGTTTATCCACCTAGTCTGAATTAGGCCTATATAAAGCAAACACAATAGAATGCTCGCAGGAAGTTCGCAGTAACATCCATTGACAGTGCTTGGTTTATTAATGATTAAACAGTCCTACAACCAAAGAAAACATTAACTTTTTTTTTTCTTTATTGCTTTCAACATACATTACAAAACCTAAACCTCATATTGAGATTTAGTTTGTGTAAAGCATCATGTGTGTATGTTTGTCTTGTGTGTCGTGGACTGTTTTATGTGTACTGGGCCCCTGGGAGAACAGTAATTTGTTACTGAAGAGGAAACCCACTATAAATAACAAATAAATAATAATAAATAATAAAAATCATAACAACATAATATAGTATAATGCTTTACAATAAAAAATCTCATCTTTCTAGTAAAAAAATTAGCATTAACAAAATCCATAAAAGATTAACTTACTTTCCAAAATTTGGATTGAGCTGCTTGGACACATAGTTTTCTTTATCGTTTACTTTCTTGGATCCAAGAATCACCTGCAGGTAAGGATCAGCCTAAAACAAAGCGGTCAATTTCAATATTCAAGTTAAAGTTCACATTTTATTTCTTGAAGCTTTTCAGCTAAATTGTGAACAACATGGTTATAAGTACAAAATAAATACAAAATCAACCTAACCTAAATATTCAAATTACAAAAAATAAAATTTTATTTATATTGTACAAAAGGTGGCTGGAAAATCAATTTAAAAAAATTATGAGTGAATTGGCATAATTGTTAAACAATGCATTAAACATACTTGTTAAGAACTATATTTCCAGTATTCAAACTGGTTATAGATACGTACATAAACCCTAGGTGAGGTATTAGGTATGTTTGTATGCAGACCCATATGGTCTGTGGTTTGTCTGCTAAGTAACAGACAGAATGTTTGCTAAGTAACATGTCAAACAGATTTATAGCTTAAGGGTCTATTTAAAATCTGTGCATGCCATTCTTCAAGTACTACAGCTTGAGTTAGTGTAAAGTAAATATATAAAACAACAAAATAAGAGGTCCAACAGTAGGTTTGGTTAGACATTTTATTACTATTAAGTTTCATGATACACATACATGGTGCAACACTCTTCAAATAAAATATATTATTTATCTGAAGAGTGTTGCACCATGCAAGTGTAACATGAAACTAAATAGTAATATTAAAATTCAACCTACTGTTGAACCTCTAATTTTATTTTTAGTTTGCTATGGTGTTATTGCGATTGAGCACTCTGCTGGTGGTGTTTGCAACACATTCAAACGTTTGCAATACAGTACATTCAAATGTTTTATATATCTCGCTGTAGAGCGATATAGATGAATTGTAAGACAAGCAGCACTGCGTTACTGTACATGAAACTAGCAGTAAAACCAGGTGAAACTTGTTAAATGCTAGAACACTGAAACCCCACACAAAGCCAGGCTAAGCAAATTTAGAAAAATCTATTCCTATGCTTTTCTGAGAGTGCTTGAATACAGTAGAAACTTGTGTTTTCAAATAGTTATAGATCTGCTTTTGTAAAGCTTAAATAAAGAAAAGAAAAATGGGGATGCTATACATGTTTTCTGATTATCAAATATAAATTTGTCATATATTTGTAGCCTTATATTAAATAACCATTATGACAAACTATACTATAAAACTTCTTGTGTGTAGAGATGAACAGTAACCCCAAGTTTTTGGTTTGCTATTTATGTTGGTAGTAGTGACGCTCACACATGTACGGCTCATGTAATATAAATTGGTTTTTTTTCAGGTTCTTAAACTATCATTGTTTCTTTTGTCTGTCATATTTTTTATTTCTTGGGGGGGGGGGGGAGGGGCATGAGCCTTTTCACTTAAACGTATACAAGCGCTTTACAATTTTTAATTATTATTATTAATTATTATTATTATAAATAGCACACAATATATAAACAATGAACAATCTCAATGAAGTCTGGGGATGAATTATGGGGAGGGGGGAAGTACTTACTTTGCCATTGGTATCAGCTGGATGTAGGTCAATCGCTTTAACAACATAGACTCGAACCAAAACTGCAACTGGTTCAATTGAAGGCAACCCTTGAAAATAACCAAAGAAAGAATCGCCTCCATTTAAGGTCTTCATCTTTTCCCCTTCTGGAAGTGGCCATTGGTAGAGTCGTATACCACCCTGACAAAATATATAATCCCGCATTATATATATTAACAAAAATATATAAACTTAAATTGTAATATATCAATATAAGAGACTAATACTACAAGTGGAAAAATAGAAAAGACAAGGACAAAATATAAATTTAAATTCTGTGTGTGAAGTGTATTGCTGTTATTTTTACTTTTGGTGTATATGGACATATATATTTAAACTTATCAACTAAATATAATAGCTATTGTTTGCAAAATTAAATACAATTAATTATTACATTAATTGTGTACATTTACAGTATCTTCTTATGTTTATTATACATTTAATGAACCTTAATGGATTTGAACCTGGAATTATTTTCTTCACATGAAATGTCATAATACTTTATGTTTATGTACTATACTAAGTAATGACTGTCGTTAGCCACAGAAAAAATGGCAGTATTTCGTAATTACGGATTTATCTTCTGAAATTGTTCTCAAAGAGATAGAATACTAAGCAATTAGTAGAGATCCACATAGTACACTACGAAGGTTGGATTTAATGGTGGGGAATAGGCAAACAACACTGGGAGTTGCAGTGATGACATCATGATTGACTTTTAAATTGCATTTAGGATGAATGCATTATTCAACCTAGTTTGTTTTCAATCCAACTTTGAACATTCTATCATATTTGGCAGAATAAACATGCAATATAATGGATATTAAACCGCAATATTACCAATTGTTGTTCCTGAAGAATCATTCATTAATAAATCATTCATTAATAAATCATTAGAATAATATCAAACTATTTTCTGGAAGAAATATGTTGATTATTTTTAATACTCTATATACACCTTTTGTGTCATCTAATTTTTTGGTACAATAAATTTGGGCATCCAATATTTCTGTCTGTTGAACGAATTGGAAGTGTTGTGAGTGGGTGAAGGAGGATGTGTAAAGAGCAAGGGGTTAAAGGTGTTTGATTAGTCTTGTGTCAAACTTCTTACCAATTCTACATTCTCAAGTGACTTGCAAATTAAACTAACCCAATGATGATGATGAACCAACTTCTTTCATGCTGAGTATGCGTGGTATACTGCCATGCCGTGCTGAATTGATAACTAGACCTTCTAAACCTACCTTTAATTTACCAATGACATAACAGTTGTTCACCTTAAACTTGCCCGACATCCTGGCTGAATCATCCTCATCTTCTCCTGTGTTTTTCCCACGGTAAAGCGGAAAGATGTCCATCCATTCGCGGAAACCTTCAAACTCCGGTACTGATTCCAGTTCGCATGGGTATATCTATGTTTTAAAGAATTACATTGTAAAATATGTCTTTATTAATTCAAATAGAAATTTTCTTTTTCCATAGCTTTTTTTTACCTAATTCAGTTGCTGGGCTTCCAGTGGTTGTCGACATTTAATCAACTTTAAATCTATTTCTGTTGATATTCGAGTATTTTGTTGTTTTTAACTTTTAATTTCAGGCTGTTGGGTGCTAAAGACCCTGGTGAAGTTTGAATTGGAGTCTGATCGGGCATTCTAACGCAGGTGTTAACGGTTAGCGCTAACGGTTAGCTCCTGATCCGGATACTAGGGCTCTCGTGAGAACCAGGCTATTGAGAGTTAGGACAATGTTTGTATCTGTATGTGTCAGTTATATGTTGTGTTTAAGTTGGGTGGTGCTGCACAGGGGCCTAGCCTATGTCCGATTTCCAATTAGAATGATGACCAATAAAGAATTATTATTATTATTATTTATTATAATAATAATAATTATTATTATTATTATTATTATTCAACTTTACTGTATAGTATGTGAATGAAAGTAATGAAATGGTAAATAATTTATTCACACATATGGCCATTATTATCATTAATGAAATACAGTAGAAAGTTTAACAAGCATGGCTTTTGAAAAATGTGAACTACAGTGGAAATTTTAGTATATTTGCAATGGATATACCATTTTTTTAATCCAAAATATATAAATTATTATTATGTGATTGAAATAAAATACAGAAAATTATTTTGATACTTACAGTAATTGGTGTCACATACTCTTCAACCTATAGAGTAAAAATAAGTACCTTACTTTAGACATGGGTCAATGTTTAATTAATCTTTAGCAAAAAGGTGGTTGCTTCCCTATGATTTACATATCCATTTTATAATAATTTCTTTGTATAAATCTTCACACACATTTTTAACAATAATTAAAATATTAATAATAATTAATAATATTAATAATAATAATAATTATTATTAATAGTAATAATTACTGTTGATATTTATTAAATAATCAATTATTAAATGTTATTTTTCTGGAAAAGTTGTGTACTTATCAATATCTTGAAGAAAATAACAGAGAAAGTTTAATTAGCAAATATTATACTAGACATTATTATTAAAATAATGATGGAAATGATATAATTGTAATACAAATTTTGAAACTGTTCTTAGTATACAAGATCAATATATCAATGTGTAAAACAACTCATCTGACATAGACAAATAGAAAATGTGATTATTATAGTATCCTTATTTAATATTAACATTATCATCACCATCATCATTGTTGTCAACATCATCTTCATCATCACAATCATTTTTTTTTATTGTTATGTTAATAAACCAAGTCATGTATCTAATATCTACCATATGATACCCAGATGTTAACGATCTCCATGTGTTAATTATGCCAAGGTATGATACCCAGGTGTTAATGATTATAAGGTGCTGGTGCTACACAGGTGTTACAGAGGTGTCAATGAAAGACAATACAAACAAAAATCAATATACACAAAGTGCTATGGTTAGTACTGCAGTTTGGCAATGATAGAATGGATGAACGGTTTTGGTATCCAATCCTATGTATAAAATGATTTAAATACAATGGAACAGTTGACTTAAATCATATAAAATAAGTTGCATTGTTTAACTACCAAAAAGCTTGATTCCTTTCCATGGTGAATTTGTAATTTTATATTTGTGTAGTGGATAACAAATAATGATGATAATGATTATTATAATAATGATGATGGTGATAATGATGATTAGGTGATGATGATGATGATTATGATTGATGATGACGATGTCAATGATGATGATGTTGAGGATAATGATGGTGATGATGACAATTGTGTCAAAACTAATAATTGCACAACATTTGAATAACGACATGATTATAAATAGTAAACTTCTGATAGTGTTAGTTAGGGTTAATTCTTGTAGTTTTTTGTTGGAGGATATACTTGTAACTTGCTCTGACGAGTGTGTAGATTTTATAGATTATGACACCTCCATGTATAAAAAGAACACCACCCCCGCTATTCTAAAATGTTCATACCATCCAAAGCAATAATGTTTAACAGTTACAATATATGTAGTGCAAAGGAGCTTGATATGAACTTAATCCAGCTCCAAATTGCCATTTTTTTTAAATGTCTTTGATAAACATTCTGAATATATGAAAACAGTGATGAAATTTGGAATGTACATAACTGTGTTATTAGATGATTTAAAAAACCTAGAAAAGAACATAGAATATGCACAAAAACATCGGAGCAGCTACGCCTTCAATAATGTAATCTTATAATAAGATGCTATTGTAGAATACTACTACTGTATGTGTGCGTACAGAGTGGACAAAAAGCTTCAAAAATCAGAGCTTACGAAGGAGTTTCACAATCAGATTTCCATTACTTTCAACCTGAAAATTTGTTTGACAATTTGCAAAATTTCTAGCTGGGAAGCTTATGACACAAAAGCAACATGGCCTTTTAAATCTAAATTGAACATTGCCGATCCACAAAAGCAGGGAAATGATAGCTGAGACTCCCTAAAATTTATGATGACACACTGATACGTCAATTTACTTACAAACATTGCTCGATGCTAGAAACATGCAAAACAAAACAAACATAAAATGATGTAAAAATTATTTAGAATTTAACAAAAATGTACAAGATGAAATAAATTGATTGTTGTTGATGAGATTTAGGTAGGCCTAACCTCCTAGTAGACATTTGTTTAATCGGTTAAAATGTATTGTAAACATTATTATGAATTATTATGTGCAAATGAAAGTGATGACATCACAACTGACTTATAGTAAAAAATATATCATGAATTATTATGTGCAAATGAAAGTGATGACATCACAACTGACTTATAAATAAAAAATATATCATTCTAGGCAGTATAATACTCAGCAAACTATTGGTCAGGTGGGTGCCTGGCTCTCAGACAGCTTTTTCCCACCCCTTTTTTGTTCTAGTTACAGTCACCATGGTTTCTTTTGTAGTTATAGTTGTTCAAGGTTTGGGACAGATTAAATAGTATCTCTAGAATGCTCAAAAATGTTGGTGTCGTAGGAATTGGATCAGTGGTGGCGCCAGGATCTGCCTGACGGAGGGGCTAAAGGCCCCGACGGGGGGGCTAGTGGAGCGAATCGAGTCTCACTTTGCTGGGGGCCAGGGGGCCGCCTAAAGCCCCCTGGAAGCCATGGATATTTGATGAATTATTGCGAGTTTTTATTACTTATTTGATAGTCATCGAATTACTATAATATGACTTCATGTAGGCTATGCTTTCTAATGTTGAAATCAGCTTCCAAAACCAAAACATTTTAAATAAAGCAAGAAACAAAGAGTATGCAATGTAACCATCTAAAAGTGAAATTCTATATTTTGGAAATTTTGCATGAAATCTGTTAACCATGCTGTCATGGTTGAGGTTGCTTCACCTATCACGATGTATTCCAACCATCATGAGGCTATCTAAATGAGCATTTGTCATAACAGAACGCAAATTATTTTTAATTAGTTTCATTGAATTATTATTATTATTATTACTATTGTTATTGTTGTTGTTGTTGTGATGAAAAGTTAACACAAACAATATGGTGGCTAAATGAATGTTACATGTAAATATTTTTTTTTTTATTTGTTTGTTTGGGGGGGGGGGGGGCTTGGGGGCTATAGCTCTGGCGCCACCACTGAATTGGATATATAGTAGATTGGTTCATAGGAATGTGCCATGTTTAAGTGTAATGTAGATACAAGTGAATGGTTCACAATATAGTGTAAAGTGAACCGATTGTTACATTGTGCAAGTATTTATGGTTGTTATTACTGATGAACATCAAAGTTAGTAAAGTGATACGTTAATGAATGCATATGCCTGAAGTTAAAGCCCCATTCCCGGCCAAATTTCACTAAAAACTGACTTTTTTTAGAAAATATGCATTTGCATTACTCCAATTATTATAAATCATGGAAAAATATTGGCATGAATTTTAGTTTTACGCAAAAGAATAAAAAAAATGAGAAATCATTATATGGACTTTTTCTCATAAAACATTACCATTTTCTCGACGAATTCATCGTTACTAGGCAAATTCAAAGGTTGTAGATCGCATCCACTGGAATACTCTCGCTTTTATGTATACTTTATACAGTCAATAAAGTGCGCTCTCTCTAAAGAGATTAGTTTTTGTACTTCGCATTTCGCACAATGCAGTTGTTCGGTTAGGCTGAATTATGTTTGTTTAAGTGTCAAAATCTCAGTCAGAATCCGTTTTTAACAAATTTGAAATAATTCCTATGAAACATTATATTTCATAAGTGTCAATACTAGCAACGGTAAATATCATTTCGGCCGTTTTTATGTGTGATAACAGAACCTAAATCGAGGTAAGGTTAGGCCTAGCCTAGCAGCGTTGGATAGGCTAATGTTTTCGGCGCCTACGATATTTCTTCTCACGACCTATCGCAAAATCAAATAAATCATTATAACATTATACAAAAATTAGATTTTTCTTAAAAACTGAAATCTTATTTTACATTTTTTTCATTCTTAGGAATGTCTAAATTCAGTTAAACTAGCAATGCCGTATTATATTTATAAATCTTTATAACATTATACAAAAATTAGATTTTTCTTAAAAACTGAAATTTTGCCGGGAATGGGGCTTTAAGTTAAAATACAAAATTTATTGTCGTGGACTTGTTAATATACACACAAACAAAAGCAATTATAAAAATTAAGGTAGACTCTGTACTTCTAAATGAATATAGAAAGAATGTAAGCTATTAAATATTTTTGGAAAACACTCCTACTATTAACTGTTCTCTACCAACTGAACTATATCGTCAAGTTGGAAATACTATTCAATCCAAATTCAAATTTAATTTTCAGATGAACATAAATTTAAAAAAAAAAAAAAAAAAAAACTAGCATGGAATTAGCAAGATTTGCTCAAGGTGTTATACACTATAATATCCAACTAAAACATTTTACTGAACAATTAATTGGCGACATGTATTGGAGAGGTTAAGATTAATCAAGAAAGCTGCAAGTTTGAGGCAACCATTGCTTTTATCCTACGCAAAGTGGTATCCTCCCAAGAATATAATTGGGTGGCTTTGCATGCTTGAATATCAATGCATTGATCCATCTCTACAATATAATGGAATACTCCCCCAACAG